AGAGCAATTCCTAGTATGGCTGTGTCTGCATCATAGATCAGTGGTTCCCAACCAGGGGTCTCCACACTCCCAAGAGGTGCAAGATAGAATTTCAGGAGGTACAACAATCTTTAATGTTAATCTGGATTCAGTTTTCTTTTGTCAATTAAGAAAAAATCTAGGTATCACCTGAATCCACCAGCAGACTTGCAGATTGCAATCAGTAAAAAAAATCCACATTTTGACAGAATCATGAATGAGAAACAGGAACAAAGATGTAACTGAGTTTTATTTTACAATTAGGATTAAGGTTGCTATTTACATTTTTCTGAATAAATTAGAATCTAATTGCTCAATTAAGATTTGCAAATCAAAAAAGTTTGATTTGTTCACCAGCAGTATTGTATGTGGTTCAATTTGTGGTTCAAAAAGTAGAAAATAGATTTCTTCATCTTCAAATGTGGTATTACTTTTGTACTAGGGGTGTGAGGCAACCACTGTCATAGATCAATACCTACTCTGATCCAGAGCAGGTGGGAGTGGGGTTTGGGCCAGCAGCATAGCTGATCTTCACCTACTGGCCACTGTGGCTGGATAACGCCAAGGTATTTTGCCATCAGGGTACATGGCTTCATAGCCAAAGCACCAGTTAGTGCTTTTCCAGATTCACTCCCCCTTTGCCTTTCTTCTCTTCATCCAGCATACAGTCTCACCAAGTCTTATCTACAGGGTGATAAGCTGGTCATATTTTGGGGGCTTCTGTACAGGATTGCATACAGAAAAAATGATAGGGGGGTGACAGGAAAGGGCGAGGAATAGTAAGAGACTATGAGCCTTTGCAGATGGCTAGAAATAGTGCAAATTGAGTTCACTGTAACTGTCCTGGCTCAGTGCTAGGGAATAATGGGAATTGTATTTTTTTCTGAGACATTGAACCTTCTCTGTCAGAGAGCTCTGGTGCCACAATAAACTACAGTTCCTATGATTCCCTAGCACTGAGCCAGGGCAGTTAAAGAGGACTCAATTTGCACTATTTCTGGCAGTCTTCAAAGGCCCTATGTTTATTCTTAAAGAGTTGCAAATGGGAATGACTTCTTGACAAAACTCATGATACAAGAGGGTCCCCACCTGTCAGGCCTTACAAGAAACACTAATGGTATGAACATTATAGCAGTGCCAAGCATTTAGATAAACTCATATGTTCTCATACACTCTTTCTGGAGCAGAAATCAGCTCTAAATAAAAGAGGGCTCAAACCATTGACCCATGTAGCTTTTACTATTTGCAGAGGGCTTCAAACACCTAGCAATTCTATTCCCTTTCTTCTCAACAAATGAATCCTGATATGCACACAAATGGTGCATTCACATGTCACCATAAGACATGGTTAGTTGCATAAGCCATGAATTGTGATCACCCCTGTCTTGTCTTCCCTTTTCAGGTTTATTTCTTTCCCAGCATTTTTGTCAGCTCCTGGGCCTTCTGCCAAATCCTGCTTTTAGGGTGGGCAGCAGTGGAAACAAAGCAGTGACAAGCCATGCTTGTGGGTTTGTACAAAAGAAGCTGGAGTTCATAAGCCAACAGCAGATGGTTTCAAACTGTGCCTGATCAACAAATCATAGTTTGTCACTGAAAGTAGAATTACATGTCACAGCAAGCCAGATTTCAACAAGCCATAACTAGTGCATGTTATGATGGAGGATGCTTTCTTCCTCTGAAATGTAGTTTTAACAAGAGTTAATTAGACATATCCAGCCTATATTCTACTCATTTGTGAACACAGAAGGTGATATGTGAGCCTGAAAGTGTGGGGTGCAATTCAGGGACATATTCAGTATACAACCCTCTACCTCCTGCCTCATCTCAGCATCTTCACCATAAAACTCTTTCTTGTTGTTTGTGTGTTTTAAAAGTTTCTAGATTGAGACAGTTCCCATAAATTAGCAATAAGACCCATTTAAAACATCCAATTAAAGCATCAAATTAAAAGCCACCAAACAAAACCCCAAAAGCCAGGGGTGCAAAGAGAGAGGGCACACACAGCTTAACCAGTTTCACATTTTCTGCAGTTAGCCAGCCCTCTCAGAAACAAACCAGCAACAGTTTTTGCCTTCCTACTAAAAGGCAGGTTAGCTTGGCAGGCTTCCTGGAGCAGACCTCCCCCTGCCCCCCTACATGAGCAAATTAGGGGCCAGCCTTCAGGGTTGCTCCCAGCCAGTCTTCCCTCCTTGTTTCCAAGCTGGATTCCAGTGGCTCCTCTTTCACCCAGCAGATGGTTGAATGGAATGCCCATTCTGTCTGCTTTGCTGGTGAAAAGATTTCCTGCCCTAGGAAAGGAGTGTGCTCTGAAGGCCCTGGAATATCAGTGCTCAGAGCAGAAAAACCTCAGTGCTTAGACCAGATTGGGGTGGGAAAGCTTCCCCATTTGTTCTTCTGGCTTTGAGATGGTTTCTAGTGGTGAATGGCGGAAGCATTCAGACATTGGCTTCTCTCTCTCTCTCTCTCTCTCTCCCCTCCTTCCACTCCCTTTCTCCCTTCTCCCCCCCCCCCCATTTTCATTTTTGGGCAAAGCACAACCAAGCATTCCTGTCTGCAAGGGTGTCTTTCAGCTTTGCCATCCCTCCTCTACACTCCCATGGCCTAGATAATCTGGGAGGTGAACAAAACAGCAGCAGAAGGAGATTCCTGCTCTCCCAGTTCCTAGCCAAGGGCACTTGGCTCAGTCAGGCTTCTTTCTTTCTTTCTTTCTTTCTTTGCAAAACAGGATCCCAAAAAACCTTGTTGGAGCAGTTCTAAGCCAAAGACACTTTCCTATCTCACTCAGCAATAAAGCAGCACCTTCACATAAAGAGAGACAACAAACTGGAGCTAGTCTGGGATGTTAACTGGAGTTGAGTCTTCAGTTCTGCCATAACTTTCCTGTGTGTCTGACCTCAGGCAAGTCAGCTAGTTGTTGGTTGTCTCTGAGCATTTATTCATGTTTGTGGGGTGCAATTAAGCTTATCCAGGCTGGCGCCATTGCTTGGCATCCTGGGCCACCTGCTAAAGGCCGTGCCTCAATAGAGATCTGACTGCCAGTCCCAGGGTTCTTCTGGGCTTGCATCTGCTCCTCCTGGATAATATTGTTACTGTTTTTACCTTGTGATCTGCCTAATTTGAATGAGCAGTGAAAAGAGTGAGGTGAAGGACTGGTAATATGCCTTGTCTCCTCCATGGCAGATGGTGCAGAATGGGCTGAAAGGGACAGACAAGTGAATGGGCATGGGCCACAACAATGAGTAGGAGGAAGGAAGTGCAAGGAGTAGGAGGGAGGAAGTGCATCCCTTCTGAAACCAGCGCTGCATCTCTCAGATAAATGTAGTGTTTGTCTGTCATCAGTGCTACTTCCCATATGTGCCTGTTCAGCACTCCATGACATCAGCCCACAACTTAGGACCCATTGCTGAGCTGCTTCTTTCAGTTGTCTTACCAACTTTCTGGCTCTATGTTCAGTCTCAATCGCTCTAAACTAGCTATCAAATGCTGGGGTCCCAGAATTAGAGTTTGAAAAGTTCCTTTTCCATCATAACTTTCAGAATCCCCTAGCCAGCCTTGCCATATCACAGGATGATTTGGGGAGTTAAAGTCCAAAAAAGTAACTTTACTGAGCTGTGCTCAGCTTTGCATTGCATGTGGTACTGGGTCTCTGGTACAGTTAAAGAAAAGGTATTTCCTTTTCCTTCTTGCCAGTGGTCAGAGGGTCTGGTAGCTATTGTCAAAACCGGTAACATTTCCAAGCCCTGCTCAGCATATGGTCATATTCTTTCATTGGTCCTTCATGGGATGACAATCATGAAAAGGCAGAGACAGGGCTGCCCTTGATGGCCCACCTCCTGTTATTCCACTATGCCCTCATTGTGTGTGTTCGTTTGTTGTGCATGTAGACTTGTCCTGGGTGACCAAGGGCCCTTTCACACAACACATTTATAGTGCTATGATTGACTTTAACTGTCATGGCTGCATCCTATGGAATCCTGGGGTTTGTAGTCTAGTGAGGAACTAGAGAGCTAGCATGCTGCAATGTGGTATGGTAGTTTGAGTGTTGGACTAGTACTCGGAGAGACCATTGTTCAGATCAGCCATGGAAACTGGGAGACCTAGGGCTAGTCATAGCCTCTCAGTCTCAGAGGAAGGCAAAGGCAAAGCCCTCTGAAGAATCTTGCCAAGAAAACCCAATTATAGTTTTGCCTTAGGACTGACACAAATCATACATGATTTGAAGGCACACAACAACAGTGGAGCCATAGAGATTGCTGGCTGAGAATTCTAAATACCCCTCTTTAAACTCCAAGTCCCTGTACTCCATAGGCTAGAACAGCTAGAACAGGGGTAGGCAACCTTTTTGAGCTGGGGGCCGGGTTGCTGTCCCTCAGACAATTGGTGGGCCGAAGCACCAAAAATAAATAAAAAATTAAAAAATATGCATGCACACTCTCTCAGCCCCAGAAAAGCCATGGCAAAACCCCTGTGGAGATTTTGCCAAGAAAACCCCAAGAACAAATAATAACAACAATAATCAATATCATCATGGTGGGCGGCAGCGGGGGGCGGCAGCGGCAGCAGCAGGACCGGCCTGAGGCTGGTCCAAAGGCCTCGGGGGGCCGCATCCAGCCCCCAGGCCTTAGGTTGCCTACCCCTGGGCTAGTTAAAGTGGAATCATAGCAGCATAACTGTGTGATGTGAAAGGGCCCAAGATCCTAAATTCTGCAGGGATCTACCCACATGGAGCAGGTTCTCCAGCCATTTCAGACCTCCCCCAGACATATGGATGGGAGGCTAGGATGTGACCGGTGACAAAGAGTACAGCGCTATCCTTTCCCTCAGTTGGTTTGTTAGAAATAATAAACAAAACATGGCTTCTGAACATGTACAGCATGTCTTTTACTGGCACCTAGTTAACCACATTCAGATCCCACATATTGGGGACTAGGAGTAGGAAAGGAATTTATGCAGATTGTAGCAGTGTAGCTTCAAGTAGGAGAGCCAGTGTGGTGTAGTGGTTTGAGTGTTCGACTGCAACTCTGGGGACCTGGGTTCAATTCCCTGCTTGGCCATGAAACACACTGGCAAGTCAAATGCTCTCATCTTCAGGGGATGGCAATGGCAATCTTCCTCTGAACAAACCTTGCCAAGAAAACACCATGACTGATTTGCTTTAGGGTTGCACACAACAACAAAAGCTTCAAGTAGACAGAATTGAGGCCACTATTGTCTGCTTTGACTGTCTGGTAGCCCTTTGGGGTCTTGTAGCAGAGAAAACATTTTAAGTGGAGACGGCAGGAGTTTAACTGGGCACACAAAAAGTGTGTGTTTCTGTCACTTGAACCACTGGTCCTCTCCAAAAGCTCCCAGACATGACCAAGACAAAGAATCCACTCACCCCAGCCCCATTTGCTAAACAACAACAGCAGTGACAGAGACAGGGAAAGCCCAGGTAATGGGGGCAAGGCCAATGTTGGCTGGCTAGCTTTAAATCAAGCCATGGGCAGCAGAGAGTTAATCTGGTGTAACTAGGCCAGCCCTCTAGGCTTCTCCTGCCAGGACCTTGTTTTGCCAGATCTGGGCAGAACGCCAAGTTCCTTCTGGCTGCTGTATAAAGTTGACGTAGTAGTCAGAGCAAAAAAGCCTCTACTGAACAAATGTGACCACTTCCCCTCTGGAAAACTGGGGTGGTTGGGAGTTGTAGGGGGCCAGGGGGGAAAAGAAAGATCTCACAGGGGATTGCCTGGGACTGCTTGGCTGGCGACCAGCTATCTATGGGGCATAGAAATAGAGACTAGTGTCCTGACCAGGAGTAGGAAGGATGCTTCCTGCTCTGGAACAAAAGAGATAGAGGTAGCAATGCAGTCTGCCACCCACTTGCAGCCTTGACAATACTGGAAGAGAAGAGGGTACTTGAGGACGTAAGTGGAGGTTTGAACAGTTTCCCAAGAGCCTGGAGTGAGAGAAGGCCTGCCTGGATAGTGGTTGTTCACTTCTCTGCCCATCACATTTACATTCTACCTTTCCTCCTGTGAGTTCAGGATGGTGTATGGGGCTCTTCCCTTTCCCACTTTCATCTCCATACCAGCCCTGTGAAGTGGGTCAGGCTGGATGAATGTTACCGGCTAGGGTCACCAGCGAGCTGTGCTTGTATGTGGCACTTGCCTTTCTGTGGTTTCTGTGCCCACAACAAATTTGGGGATGGCCCAAAGCACCCTGATTGGTGGAAAAGAACTGTTCGCCTTCTATAAATGAGAAACAGTCTATAGTTGAGGAATTTAAAACTCCAGTGCGAGTGACACCATAAGAAAAATGGTCCAGCATTCTGTTTTCTACCATAGCCAGTGAAATCCTAGCAGGTAGTCATGGCGGGATGGCTGGTGGCTTCGATGCCGGTGGGGTGATGAATCTACTCCAGGCTTTAACCTAGAATTTAAAGGAGCTGTCCAAGGTTTTGAACACTAACTAAGTAGATGTAGCATCTTGGATCCTCCCTTAAAGTTTGGACCCAAGCCCAAAGTGGATTCCCATATGGATTCTCATGTGGAAAATAGCATCTAGCCACAGTGACTAGAATACCCTCATTCTCCACAAATCAGGCAAAACACCCATTGTTAAAGCCACCCATGTTGGTGCCCATGGCTACAACTTGGCTGTAGCTGGAACATCTCCTTTCAAACTCCTCTGTTGATATTACATTTATTTATTTCCTGCCCAAAGTAAATTTCAGGAAATTCTGCAGGCATAGCTGATTCCATTTTGCCAGGATAGTTTGTCCACTTGTGGGTTAGTGTGGGGTTGTGGCTAAGAGTGCTGAGCCAGAACACAAATCATAATTGAATCAATGAACCTCAGTGGGTGCCCTGTAATGAGCTTTTTTCTTTTTGTTGCTCAGTCAAAACAAAGGCCTGTCTAGTCTAGCATTCTAGAGACTATTCATACTACGCAATATGGTTCTGTCATGGCTGCATCCTAAGGGATACTGGGATTTGTAGTTTGGTGAGGCAGTATAGCACAATGGCTGAGAAGTCTAAATACTGTACCTCCTTAAACTGCAAATCCTGGGAATCATAGCAATTAAATGGCCCCTGGGCACACAGTACCCAACTAGATGTCAGTGGTTAACCCACAAACGGGGCACAAAGTTAACATTTCTGGTTCATGTTCCTTAGTAACTCATATGCAGAAACAGATCTGCCTCTCTGATCTCAGGATATATAGCCACCCTAGAGCTTCAAAACATGAACCTTTTGGATTACAACTCCCAGAATGTGTTGCCAGCATTTAGGAGCTACAATCCAAAAAGTAACTTCTCAGAATGTTATCTGAGCTATCCTTTTAAAGGTTGCAAGTAACCTCTGCTACTTTATAGGTGGAACAAGTCAACTAGAGTGATTGTTTGTACAGAATGAAGAATGGTTTGATTTGCTCAATTTAGTAAAACTGTAAATAACATTAAAAGAAGTTGTAAATACACAAATGTAACCAGTTGACTGTGCCTCTGGCTTTTTGACTGCCTCTTCAGCAATAGTAACATTTAACTGGGCATCTTTCACTTATCTAATGATATTTTATCGGTAGACTCATTTGTCTCCCAAATTTATAATGCATTTTCTGCTCTAGCCTTCAAGTTATTCATCACGGAGGAAGCATTTGATGAGAGTCTGCTTTAGCGTTGCATGTTCTTTAATGGTCAAGTAGCTTGTCTGTGGCACCAGCAGTTATTGTTAGGAGATCTTAAGTAGCCAGTGATGTTGGATTGGTCTCCCATCTCCTCTTTAAGATGAGAGATCCATAGCTTGGTGGCAAAATGGAGGCTTTGCACATAGAAGTTCACATGTTTAGTCCGCAGCAACTCCAGCCCTGACAGATAGTGCAACCCGGGTTTGTTTCACACTAGATAATCACAGCACTTTAACACCACTTTAACCGCTACAGTTACAACCCATGGAGAGCTGGGATTTATAGTCTGGTGAAGTACTAGACCTCTCA